GGCCGGATTGAAGGGCTCCTCTGTGCCGGAGGGGAGCTCCGGTGCGGGGAGACGTGGTGCCGGGGAGCCCGGGGTGCGGGTGAACTGGAAGCGCTCCTGGTCATGCGGAATTGGTAAGAAACCTTTTTTTTGCCGGTTTGGCCACAGTGCACCAGGGAAAAAAAGAAAAAAAAGGAGGAGAGGGGGGAAAAAAGGGAGCCGATCAAATGCACAGTTTGACAGCGAAAACGGGAAGTCTCGTTTCGGTCGCATCCAAGAGAAGCGTGGAGGTGAAGGGCTCGGAGACCCCACAGCAGCCCTTTGGGCAGCACCTCAGGGCCGCCATCTCCTCCCCAGGGCCGCTGCCTCGCCGGCCACCTGCTGCCCCAGCGCCATGCCCCCGGCCGCCCGCTCCCCCCAAGATGCCTGTGAGGGGAAAGGAGCGACGACGGTGGGGAAGAAGTGACAAGGGAGAGAGATGGTGGCCCTCCTCAGGCGGAGGGGGGGCTTGGGGGGCTGTGGTACGCGGGTGCGAAGGGACAATTGGGGGTTCATCATGAGAGGCAGGGGTCTTGGGAGGGCAGATGGGCTGTGGAGCAGGCCGGGGTGAAAGGGAGGGTGTGCTAGCTGATTACGGGGTGGGCAAGTAAGAGGACTAGCTGATTACGAGGTGGAGGGTACAAGGAGGGTATGGCTGCCTAGTGCTAGCGTGGTCGCTTGGTTTGGCCAAGCCACGTGTGTTGCGGGCGCAGTACCGAATCCTACCCCTGGCCCGCAAAGGAAACCGAAGAAGCGACCCTGCTAATCCAGTGAGAGAGGAAAAAGCAGGGGCAAGAGGGGAGCCTGCTCCTCACTTACCTGTGTTCACTCACCAGCTTTTTTATACGTTTATGCAGGGAAAGGAAGGTCAAGTGCAAGTCTTAGGAATGTTGTATTTCTGATAGCCAAAATGAGGCAGTTCCATGCAAGGGTTGGGAATTTGTGTTCGTGTCCCTGCTCCCACATCAGGATTCCTGCTAGTAGTGCCTGGGGCAAGAGTTTCATTGAACCAGAGACCCAAATCCTCCCATCTCTGTACCCCCCTGCGCCTTCCTGCCCCAATATCTTTCTACCTATTTCTCAGGTCACTCAAAGCCCTTTAGCCCTGAGCTTGCTCTTTCATCCCACCCTTAATCCTACCTCTCCTGCCAAAAGCTGTGTCTTGCAGGTTCTCCTCATCCCCAGTACACCCCTAGCTGCTGTTTAGCTACATCTGCTCTGCCTATCCCCCTCCTCTCTGTCTCCTTCAGCATTCCCACTGGCTGTGAGCGTTACTTGTCTTCTGGCTGATGTAATACCAGCTAAACCCACTGGCTCTCACTGTACAAGCGAAGATGGGCTCCCACTCCAGCTGGGCTTTCAGAAACCTGAACGCCTCGTTAAATCATTTCCAGGGGCAGAGACAGTGTAAGTTCGGACTCCATTTTTACGAGGAAGAAATTGAATCCAATTTCTCTTTTCCTGCGTAGCTGTTCTAATCACTGGGTTTGGATATAAAAAGCAATATTCTTGAATCTATCTTTGAATGTCTGAGTTTATTTTTTTTTTCCAAATAAAACTCCTCAGCAAATTCAACAGTACTTATTTAGTGAATCTGAGTGTATGACACTTGGAGTTAAAAAGTAATCTTCAAAAGTAAAGAATCAAAAGTAGAGTTGGGAAAAAGTATACTTAAGCTTAAAAGTAATAATTGGGGGGGAAATCCATTTCTAGTTTCCCTGCCTGATAAATTCTTCAGAAACTTTGATATTTAACATTATTAGGCACAGTTAACCTGAAAAATAACGTGCTTTTAAAGCAAAGATTTTCTTTTTGTGAAAAGCAGATCCAGGATTTTTTTGCTTATTTCCCTTTCTTGGGAGCTTTTCTTCATTCTTTCAGCACCTGGCCTCAGGTGCATTTTACATGTTGTTTAATATTTGTAAAATAACAATTTCTGAGCATTTGTTCTGTGGGAGTTTTTTTCCCCTGTGAATGCTTCCTTAAGCATATCTTTTTTTGTTGTTGTTGTTGGAGGTGAGCTTTTAAAAAGTTTCATTTTTATGTAATTGCATTTGAACATTTGTCACATTGTTTTGCTTGTGTTTTTTGCTTTGCTTTAGTTTGGTGATTTTTTTTTTAAACTTTTACTTAAAGAGCCAGTAGCTGAGTCATAAGAGGCTGCCAGAATAGTGGTCCGTTCAATAGTCCCTTGAAAATCAAGGCATTATAATGGTTCTTTTGCTTAAAGAGTTACTTTGCCTGTGATCTCTTGAAAGAGCATAAGAAGAAACTGATATTTTGGTGATTAAATGCCTTTAAAAATTGCAGTCCAAAATGCCACAGCAGAGCTGTGAGTAAGGTGCTTAAAAATAATGCAGACAGCCCAGTACAGAAAACAAACAAATGCTTATCAGCTCAAAAGGCTAGAGAAGGTGAAATTTGCCCTTTTGAATGCTTGGGATACTATGGGTGATAAAGCATTACTTTTACCAGATAGAGGAAATTTGCAACATCTGCCATTTGGACAATTTTAATGGTATTATTTACCAAATCTTCTTGAATGGGGATATCTGGAGTTCCCTGGCTAGGTGGAGCTGTTTCTGTGGAACCGAAGGTTTGTTTCTTTAATTAGCCACAAAAGGAAGACTGGATGCGCAATTGCTGTCAAGCTTCATGTCTGTTACCTTGCCAGTAGCCCACACACCTACAATACCCATGTTAATTCAAATATACCAAATGCCATTGCAGTAGTCTTGCTAATTTTATTGTTATTCCAGCTTTTTCGTAATGAAAATACCAAATACAAAGACAAATCCTGTGTTTCTGGGTGCTTCCCCTCCTTTTGATCTTTCTGTGTCTTTCTGCAGTCCTTCTGTCTTTGTACTGTACTGTTGATGGGACAAAGAAGTGGACGTCAAGAAAGAAGCAAGGAACTAGAGCTGGCACTAAGTGAGACGATGGCAGAAGCAGAGGTACAAAATAAAGAAGAGGAAGCTGAAAAGCCGAAAGCCAAAGACCAAAGGCTAACATCAGTCTTTGGTGTGGCAGACTTAAAAAATGGTAATAACGTTATGTCTATTTTTCACTCTCATATTTTCTGTTTCTAATGCCTGCTGTTCCATTCTCTGTCCTTAGGCTTCATTTTCTTTACCTCTTCACTGAGGAATATACAGACAATTCTCATTTTGCCCTGCCAAGTAACCATTTTGGTTTTTTGGGAAGGGATTATGTGAGGATTTCAGAGCTTTTCCCCCTTTTAAGTCCTCAAATTGGCCATTGCAGCCAAAAGGTCTAGATACTGGCCTTGTCTCTTTCCAAACAACAGCCAGCATTGCTTCTGGATTTGCTAAACCATGGACCAGGCCCTAGTTATTCTGCTGCATCACTAGATTGGCCTCTCAAAAGCTGTCTTTAGTATTTCAGGTGTACATACTGTTCTAGACCAGCTATAGCCCACCCTTACCACCAACTATGCATTTCAGAGTTGTTCTGAGTTTCCGTTCCACATCCTCTCTCCCTTTGGTGATATCTTCAGAAGAAAAACTAATTTCTATCCATGATTACTTATACGCCTTTGGGGCACAGAATATACTGTCTCTTTATGTGCAGTGTGAACAGCTGTGACTTGCTTTTTCCACTTCTCTCAAGCTAGTTTCTTTCATTGAAACTGAGACAAAGAATACCAGAGGTAGGCTGAAGGGTAAACTTAAAGCCTGTGTGGTGGACAGCTAGCATGTAGTCTCACATGTAGCTCTTCATTTTTGTATTAGGCCTGCCTGTGTAAAAGGGCTGAATACAAATCCTCATACAGGCGGGTAAACTTAAAGCCTGTGTGGTGGACAGCTAGGATGTAGTCTCACATGTAGCTCTTCATTTTGTATTAGGCCTGCCTGTGTAAAAAGACTGAATAAAAATCCTCATACAGGTGGCCTTTGACTTCTGTTTTTTGTTTTTAAATTTTATTTTGTGTTTAGATATATTATGAGAAGACTGAAAATAGAGTAGCTGGGAGACATCTGAGTATCGTAATCCAGGCTTACTTGGATTTTTCCTGTTAGTTGCTAAACAAAAATAAATGTTATGTGCTTGAGGAACATAAGAATAGATTGAACCAAGATGCTGGACCTACGCATTGAACGGCGGAATATGTGCAAGAGGACTTTGCCACTTTCATATAATTTTCACTTTCTTTTCTTGTACCTATCTCCAGGCGTCACTTCCTCTTTTTCTGTGCCTACAGGAGCTATCGGACTGTACAACATTGGCCAGAGCTGCTGTCTGAACTCTCTGCTCCAAGTGTTCCTCATGAATAGACACTTCACTGGGATACTTCGAAGGTACCACCTGTTTGAACTGCCTGAGATACTTCCATTGTTGCTCTGCTGTCTCCACTCTTTTTTCACATGGGATATACATTTGAAGGCTTGGAGCATCGAGGTGCTAGCAAGGTGCTTTCAGCTCACTCAGCAAGGTCTCTGCCTTGTTGTGTCTGTCATATACTGACTAGGGCCTGCAAAGGTAGAAGTTGCAGTTTCCTGACTTGTTAGTTGTCTCTGATTCGTGTGCTGTTTGCACACCGGTAATCTGCAGTCCTGAACTGAGTCTTTATGACTTGTATCTCTCTTTTCCATAACAGAATATGATTTTATTCCAGGTATGCTCATAGGCCATTATAACTAAAAGATATGTTGTGTCCTCTATTAATTTTGTAACTTTAAGCACGTAAACATAAACATACTGTGATCCATAGCCTCTGGCCTCTGGTTGTCCTGACTAGCACCTGATAGAGTAAGTGGTATTGCAGATAGCAAATACATAAATTTGTTTTGCTTGACTGTGCTTGCTACCTGTTTGTGAGGAGGATTTGGGCTTCTGCGTCCCTACCAACCACAGTAATAACTGACTTGATTTGTTTTCAGTTTACTCAGTTCACTGCAGCTTTAATCATCTAAGTGGGTCATTCCTATTCAGTCCTCCTTTCTCCAAATTTCTTACATACTCACCAGCATGCAGAAGGGGAAGAAAGCAAGTTAGAGACATGCAGAGCTGAGAAGTGTCATAAATGGGCAAAGCTAAATAATGTAGACAGTAGGTTACCATTGTTATTTGAAGAAAGACTTAGAAAAACCTGTGGACTGCAATAAATTTAGGGAGGATAAAGAGCTTTGCAGTTGGCATATAGTTGAAATACAAGCTTTATGATATATATGGCCATGAAGTTTTCAGGGTGTGTTGAGAATGAAGGCATGAACAGGTGGGAGGCAAGAACAGCTCTGAAACTGGCTGTAACTAATGTTGTTTCTAGAGCCCAGAAAGCACTTCAGGTCCTGCTTGGTTTGCCCCTTATTCAGGAACAGGCTGACTTAAAATTGTGGCTTTTTACTTTAGAACTGTGGGATGAGCTAGTGCAGGTGTCTGCTTCCCTTTTGTCCTTCTTTTGCTAAAAACATGCCCGTTCTGGTTCCTTTTGAGTTGCTATCTGTGCTATCCACCTCTGCTCCTTCAGTTGTCATGTCTAATATTTCTCCATTTTACCGCTTGATTGCCTTTCATGTTGCTGCTTGTCTCTTTAGGATCACAGTGCCACCATGTGCTCTGCAGAAGAGGAGGAATGTCCCATACCAAATGCTCCTGCTGTTGGAGGAGATGCAGTGTGGCAAGCAGAAAGCTGTTTCTCCCATAGACCTTGCTTGCTGTCTTTCAGTACACAGGGTGAAACGTAAGCAGCACTGTCTCATGACCACCTCTGTCTGTAGACCGGGGTTGTTAATTATCAAGCACTAACAAGCAGTGCAGTCTCTGGCATCTGATTCAGAGATTCAAAAATGTGATGAGTTAGGTACACAATGATGTAGTGCTCTTTATAGCTGTCTCCCAGTTGTGAGTGAGAGACTGTGTCTTGTGAAGAGGGGAAAAAAAGCCCCTGCCGGATATCCTTGCTGATGTTCAAAGGGTGGGGAAATCTTCAGACTCCTAGAAGACTCAGCTACTGATACTGGCCAGAGGGAAAGGGGGGGTGCAGGGCAGAGAGAGGACAGCTTATAGCTCGATTTGTCTTGCTATACTGGCATGATAATAGTGAAACAGCTGCTATTTCTTATTAGAAGGAAGGGATTGTGTGGAAAAGATACTGAGTTCACCCAGACCCCCAAGGATAGAAACCATATCCTTCCTGCTCCTTGTTACAAGGGCAAAGAGAAGAATTTGCTGGCCTAACCTCCCACCTGGGCAGGGTCTCAAAGGAGAGAGATTGTTAATGCACAAGTGACCAGTCACAATGGGGTGCTGAGAGTCTGTTTATGTCTACAGATACACATGGTGTATCCAAATGCCCTGATCCTTATCATATAAAAGCCAAAACAGTTCAGCACTGAAAAGGACAGATGGTAGCCAGCCCAGACCTATATTAAGAAGGAGCATGAGATAACCTGAATATTTCTGTTTGCATCACTTATCCCCCTGAGACTGAATGGCTCTGCATTCTGTCTTCTCTCTTCTGATTAAATAGAGATGCCCAAAGAGAGTTTGTAAAGCTTGACAGTTTCCCACCTTGTCCTTCTGCTTTAAAATTCAGGTATGGTTCATGAAGTCCTATAGCCCAGCAAGTGATGCTTTACCTGGATTGCAGATGTGCTGTTATGCGTGAGGAAAGGCGTATTTTCTGAGCTTCATTTAGTCAGGGGTGCCTGTAACCCAGCTGAAGTCAGTACCTGCAGACTTGCAAGGAAGTCGAAAGCACTTCCACCTCGGGGTGTTGGATTATTCCGCAAAATTTGTTTCACCTATGATGAAGCACAGAGGTAGTCCAGCAATATCAAGATTTTGCTAAACTAAGTGTAGTTTTTGCCTAGTTCCTAAATCTTGAGTTCTTCAGGATCAGAGTGTCAGTTCTTCACATTCAAGGATGTGGATTTTTTTTTTCCCCCTGAATTCAATTTTGAAGCAATTCTATACTGAGCCATTTTAAGCAGGCTGTGCATTGAGCTGTATTCCACCATCTTAGGTTTCTTAATATGCCAGTCTAGCCAGAGTGTAAAGCCAAAGCATAATGTTACTATATCAGCCTTGGCTTCCTGTGCTGAAACTGTGTGCTTTTTCCCTGGGTAAGGATCAAGGGGATTATACCATTCTGTGGATGAGACATGTGGATAGGCCTCCCTATCATTTTTATCTCGGCCCTCAGGAGTGCTGAGGGGAGGGGGGAGAAAAGTCTGTGGACTAACAAAGGTAAAAAAAGAGAACGGAATCTTTCCTATATTGTTTCTATGAAGGATTCAAATAAATGCAACCCTCAACTCAATGAGACATCTGAGCCCTATCCTCTGGGAGGTGTTGGGTATACTCTTGGCTCTGTGTCTGGTGACAAGGACCTGACTTTTGCACTGGGTTGTACAATGGGGCACTCGAGCCCTCCCATCTTTCCCACTGCCTGCTCAGGTCACACAGAGACATTGTAGCCTGTCTCCAGTCTAAGCTCTCTCCAGGCAAGGAGTAGCAAGAGAAGAAGGAACTGAATGTAATGGGGGACAATAAATCTCCCCTTGCCATCTGTGGGAATCTGTGCTTGGTGCTGTTTATAATACTGACTGAGGTTGTGTTTTCTGTTTGTCCAGTGTTTGTGCAGTATGACGCTGCCCAGCTCTTTCTGACTCTCTGGAACTTGGTGATGGGGCAGATGAAAAAGCCAGAGCTGGTAAGGACAGTCACCAAAAGGAACACCAGGTCCTTTGGCCATTGTCATGTGTGGTTTCCTCTGCTTCTTGAAGAATAATCCTGTTACTTGACAATTGTCCTAAATGAAATTCTTAAAATTATCCCTTATTTGAATCTTTCCCACCCACAGAGGGGAAATACCTCAGCTGTGTTCTTCATAAACTTTATTTTGGCCTTTTTTTACCCCTCCAGGTTGAAGACCTGAGTTGTTTGTACACTATCCATATACAGGAGCACCTGGCCTGTCAGAAATGCTCTTCTGAAACAAAGAGGAACAGCAGCATGTTAACCCTTCCACTCCCAGTTTTGGATTCCAAATCTCACATGCTGAAGACTCTGGTAAGTTCAGTGGCAGCGCTGTTTTCTTAGGAAGAAGATTCCCTTCTGTTCTCTGTGGGAGCCTTCTCCTTGCAGCACTGGTGTCTCCTGGGACTCATCTAGAATCTCAGCAAGAGTCTCTGCAGGGTGCCTGAGGCTTTGAGGTGATCTTTTCTCATTCACATTTCTTCTTTGCCTTGAGGGGTGCTATATTTCTCAAAAAACTGGTTTCATTTGGAGGATGGAAGATCCACAAATTGCCTTTAAGACTCCTACTACACAGTGATGCGTACCTGTGAGACCTTAGATATCACAGTGAGGTGCCTTAGATAACTTGTAATCCCTGGCCAGACACACCACATTTGCCCAGTGCAGTGTTCTTTTAAATCAATACTGCTGTTTGATATCCAGATACAGCAGTGTTGGTGGCTCTGTAGATGGTGGCTGCCACAAATAGACAGTAGATTTTTCAAGTGACACTGGACCATGGGACCTTACTTATTCTCTGACCACTTTGTACTCTTTCAGCTAAAGGAACCTCTTTCAAAAAATCTAAGGCTTTGAAGTAGACATAAATTACACTTACGCATCAACATCTTTTTTTTGTGGAAAATGTGGTACTCTATTTTTTTCAACTAATGTAATCACACCAGTAGTTAGGAAAAAGGGGGCACCTTTTTTTTTAGGCTGCCAGGCAATCTTTTGCCTTTTGAATAAAATATGCCTTCTGTAGCTTTGCTGTTTGCATGTACCCTGTATGAGTAGAAATAGAAATCCAGCTTGAAGGAATTCTGTTGAAAGAAATCTCTGTCTTCTTAGGAGGACTGTCTGCAATACTTTTTCCATCCAGAAGAGTTGACTGGTCAGAACATGTGTTTCTGTGAACAGTGTGGAAGGAAAACACCTTTTTTGCAGGTAAGCAGAGAATTATTTCCCCATATGCCTTTTATACCCAGAACTCCCTTTAGGACTGGAAAGGGTGGGGAAAAGACTGAACCATATCACTTTAAGAGGAGTTCAACAACTCAAAGATTTGTCAGCATAGCAATGTCAGCTAGATAAAAACCACATGCATCTTTCCTGTTAGGAAGTTCCCTACTGTAGATGTAGCTCTAGCAACAAAAGAATGCTTTCATGGGTTTTAATATAAGTCACTAAGGGATGTAGCATTTCTGTACCAGCAGAAAAGCTTCCTTTGGTTTATGTTGTGTTTCCACTGTGGGGCTTTACACTGCTGCGTAGCTTCAGGGGTAGACAAGTATATGTTACTGGAGATGTGTGTATGCATAAAAGTTTATTTATTGGTTTACAGAGCATGAAGCTAGTCCATCTGCCACAGACTCTGACCATACACCTAAAGCGCTTCTGCTGTGAAAAATCAGCCTACATTCACAAGCTTAGTCACTATCTGCCGTTCCCACAAGAACTTGATTTCAACACAGTCTTGACAGAAAAGCAGTGCCAAGCAGATGACAATGAAAAGGTGAGATAGTCCTAATACCCTGTTTAAAAAGGGCAGATTTTCTTCTCCCCTCTGCTCAAGTCTCATAAAAACTTAAGAGATCACACCAGTACTTGACTTCATTTCAAAGCACCTGCCTTAAAAATGTGTGTTTCAGGCTTTACCTGTGCCTGGAGTTGTCTCGCATCCTGTGGTTTTAACTGGTTCAGGCATTATCCATCTTTCTGTGCTCAGATTAAATCACCATAACTGGAGCTTTCTGCCCTAAGGACAAAACCCAAGCTTTACAAAAAAAGAAAAAACCATCCCACAAAAGCAATCCCTTTTTTTCTGAGAGTGTTTAGTGTAAGTTTTTCTTCCACTTCTAAATATACTAAAGAACATAGGAGAACACAGTTGATTTGGATGACCAAATCCAGGCACTGTAAACGGTGTCTTAGAGGCAACTTCTGTCCTGTGGTTCAGCCTCCAGGGCAGGATGGCCTCAGTGAGCAGCACACCTACTGCTTTGCAGAGGTCACTAGTCCAAGACGGGGGAACTCCATTCCTGGCAGTTTCCCATGCAGTGTTTTTTTGCCACAGAGGTTAGCAGGGAGCTGACCAATTTGCTGAGCAGCTGAGAGTGATCTGCCGCACTGTGGATCTGTTCCGCATACTGAGAAATAACAAGGGAAAGCGTGGCAACAGCAAAACCTTGCTGATGCAGTGTTGGCAGCAGTGTAACCCCTTTGCTGCCCCTGTGCTGTCCTACTGCGTTTTTCACATTCCTGTGATCTCCAGGGAGGCTGCCAACCCATAGCTGGCAAGCAAAACTCTGAGGGAGGATCCTCAAGGCCAGTCTAATCTTTCTCCTTTTTCCTTACAAAATACACATTCTTGCTGTCCTGGCTGCTGCTTCTCGTCAGCCAATGTCAAGTGAGAATTGCTGCACTGAAAGTTACTCTTTGTGGCTCTTCGCAGGCTGCCTGGCAGTATGAGCTTTTTGCCGTTGTTGCTCATTCAGGATCAACTAGTTATGGACACTACTGTGCCTATATTCGAAGTCTCACAGAATGTAAATGGTATTGCTTCAACGATTCTGAGGTTTGCCAGGTGAGGAGACAAATCCACATTTCTTTTGTAGCCTCCTGGACGCTCCTCCAGATCTCTTTCAGTCTGACTGACTGCTGATGAAAGAGAACCAGGAAAGAAAACTGAAGCTGCAGAGCTTTGCACAGCTCATTCCTCTACTGCAGCATACTCTGAGCTGAGGGCAAAGTGGCTCCGGCTTCTGTACCAAGCAAGGCCTCAGGTTCTGGTTTGCAATTTGCAGAAGCAGCCATTTGCTGTATACCCTACTTTATGTACCCTAGGTCTGTTTAATGTATGTGTTCAGAAGAGGCAAAGGAACTGTTTTTCCTCGAAGGGTAAAAGCAATACACCCATCTGTTAAAAGGCGGTTAGTTCCTCAGTACCACTTTTACCACTCTTATGACGATTGCTGTGCTGATATTACAATACCACTCTTAAGAGTTTTTACCAGCCTCCCCTTTTGTGTTTTTCTTCTCTAGGTATCATGGGATGATGTTAAATGCACCTATGGACATTCCAACCTCCACTGGTAAGCAAACACATCTCTGTTTTTGCCTAATGCTGCTCTGGGGCTTGGAATGAGGGTAGCAAAGAGAGAGAAGAAAAATGGTTTGATCTGCTTATCGCCTGGGATGTACAGGGCATGTGGGAGAGTAGAAGAGGCATCCTTGTTCTCTGGTTACTCTGATGTGACTGTATATGACTGTACTGGGAGCCTGCAGGATCACTGAGTAGGCACAAATGGGGCTACAGGAGCAGTCTTGTTACTTACGATTGCCACTTGGACCCTATATCCTGACTGAAATTAGATAATGGCAGTCAGGGTTCCTCCATCCTTTTTGTTTTGATGCAACATAGGAAAATGAGACTATGAGAGAACCCCTTCTATAAGCTATAGCACTGCCAGGGGGTCAGCTTTAGAGGCTGCCTCAGGAACACTGGAGAGGGCCAGTTCAGCTGACCTAAACCTCAGAAAGCTGAGCTGGGGCAAACCTGGGAGGTTACTTTCAACCTAGATTTTCAAACATGTATCTTGTTTTGCTTTTTCTTTGCTTCCACAGGGGAGAAACGGCCTATCTCTTGATTTACATGAAAAGGCATCCTCAGTAGCCTTATCCAGGAGTATCAGATGTTTCAGGAAGCTGTGTGTGGTACATGGAGCTCAGCACCTCTGTGCCAGTGTGGACACGTACAAATGTTCCACAAGAAAGATATTCTGCACTCAGTCAGCAACCTCTGCCTTCACGTTTGTTTATGAAAAAAAGTGCAGGAGAGACTCAGCTAGAGAAAGGATCTAAGAACTGTTGCACCTAGAAACTTCCTTTCATATCTTTTTGATGTATATGTGATTCTATATATTGATTTCCTCTTCAAAGATAGTAGGGTTAATCCTTGTCTCTGCTGACCGACTGGTTTAATGCTGCTGCCTTGGTTTCAGCACAGGGGAAGCATTTGGCCTGAAAGCCTGCATGATGTTCCAGGGAGGCACGTGGTGTGGTGGAGAGCTGCGGTAGCCTTACCTAGCCAGGAAGACTGTAAGAGCTTGAGACTTACTCTGCCCTTTCAGTGCCATGTTAGATGCTGGCAAGCTGGGCAGGGGACCCCAAAAGTCTTGAGAAACAGCTGGAACAGGGACCAGAACCCTTATGACACACATGCACCGGTGATGTTTACTCCTTAAAACCTTCCTGGAAATGAATCACTGCAGGGGCTGAGATGTGTTTGGAAGTTGGTGTCAGCATAAAGAGGTGTTCTTTAAATCAGGAGCTATTGTAGTAGTTTTGATTTACAATGTGAGTTTGTATATATTTATGCAGATGTTTATTGTTTTAGCATGCTTATTGAGCATTTATTTGCATTTTCTTTCCTGTATAGAGGAAAATATTCAGAGCAACAGACATTCTGAAGCTAGTTGGTGATTTTGCACAATTATCATGGTTTAATGCCAGCCAGCAGTGAAGCACCACAGAGCCGCTTGTTCGCCCCCCTGCTCCCAGTGGGTTGGGGGAGAGAATCAGAAGAGTGAAAGTGAGAAAACTCGTGGGTTGAGATAAGAACAGTTAAATAATTTAAATAATTGAAATAAAATTATAATGAAGACTATACAGAGTAAGCAATGCACAATGCAATTCCTCACCACCAGCTAGTCCTCAAGCAGCAGTCACTGCCCCTGGCCAACTCCCCCCAGTTTATACACTGAGCGTGACGTCGTATGGTCTGGCATAGCCCTTTGGCCAGTTGGGGTCAGCTCTCCTGGCTGTGCCCCCTCCCAGCATCTTGTGCACCTGGCAGAGCAGGGGAAGCTGAAAAAAGTCCTTGACTTAGTGTAAGCACTAAGCCACAACTAAAACATGAGGGTGTTATCAACATTCTTCTCATCCTAAATCCAAAACACAGCGCTATGCCAGCTGCTAGGAAGAAAATTAACTCTATCCCAGCTGAAACCAGGACAACAATACTGTCCATACACTGTGATAAGAGAATTGGGATGCCTTGATGTGCTTGAATTTTTGGGATTTTTCTTTAGCAGGTCTTCAGCTGGTTGCCAGCTGGCATTGTCTTGCTCTCTCCCTTCCTTCTCTGCCCATGAAGTGGAAATGTCCCTCAAGCAGAAAGTGTTCTGGAGAGAACAATTTTATAAAGAGAGCGAGTCATTTTTAAATCTCCTGTTGTGTCCTGTTGCTCTGGGGTGCTGATTCAGCCTGTGCTCCCATGGCAAGACCACACAGCTAGAGGGGAAATGTAGAGAGCGCTAGAAAGGAAGGTTGGTAACCCGTGACAGTCAGAAGAGTGTTCTGAACGCTCATCACAAGGCTCGGCTGTGAGGAAAGTTAAAAACTTGTTGTGATCCTTTTAAAGCACTACTCATTGTGGTAAGTCTTCACATACCACAGCTCCTGAAAGGATCAGTGGTTCCAGTAGTTTGAGATCTAAAAGTACCTTCTGGTCTAACGTATTCTTTGACTGTGTCTTCACAAGGGTGCTATTTCTGTGGGACTGAGAATATTTTAAAATTACTGATTTAGTTTTAATAGCAGCTATGTATAACCTAATTTTATTTTTATAATGATGGTGGAGTTCCCAAATCACGTCTCTCTTCTGTTGGTATGTGGAAGGTGAATTGAGAAATCTTGGAGCATAGCCACGAAAATCACATTTTTATGAACTAGCAGATATTTATTGCACTGTACAAGCAAGGTCCATTATTCTGTTCAACTCTCTTGTATTTGTACTCTTCATTCTGCACGGAAAAAAAATCCCAGTGTATTGTTTGTCACCAGGACGAGGACTTTTCAGCCTATTTGCCTTTGGAAATGTGGTCCACTCCTTCTAAAGCACCTTGCAATGGGTGTGTAAGAAAAGCAAGTTCCTGTCTGCTTTATCCAGCACTTGCATATGTGAAGCAGCTGAAAGACGACGCACTTCCAGAAGTTGAGAGGTTAATGGGTTAAGAGACTGACAAGACACTGCTCATCTGATATAACCGGAAATTTAAAAACAAGCTATCTTTATAAAAATGCCTCAAATGTGTCATAACCTTCCAGGTATATCGCCCATCAAGGCAGCAGATGCTGAGATGTATGAAGAATCTTTTCAGTCAGTATGTCAATGAAAAGTAATCAATGTTGTTTGAATAAATACTATGGGATAAATTCCCTAGAAAATAAGTCTTGTGGATTATTTTCGGTCTGTTTTTCCTAAACACCATGAATGCAGGTGGGAGGCTGCAGGCCACATGCACAGATGTTGTACGCTCAGATTAGGTATTCAGGCTGGAGCTACTGCTAATGTTTAGCTCCAATGGCCGAGGAAATGAGGCTAAACTTTCCCTGGGCAATTTGCCCTCATGCTGGGGTCACAATGGGTTTATTGTCAGGTTTGCTGTCACGTGAAAGCTTATATTGCTTCTGGGTCCAGATGGGTCATGGGAGGAGTGGGAAGTCTGCAAACTGCGTTGCGTATAGATCTAAAAACTCTGCCCGACCTGAGCTGCAAAAAGTCACCTCGGCTGCCTCTGCCTCCGCGGCAAAGTTCAGTTGTGCGCTGGATGAGCTGCCCGAGGACAGCTTTTAGCTGAGCGCGTGGGATTCGGTGCTAGCGTATTGGCAGTTACACCCGTGCCACTCCGTGTGCACCGAGTGTGGCCTTCACCGCTGTGGAATGAAGCCTAGCACGGGCAGCAAGGGCTTTGGAAAGCCGGATAAACCCAAGAATTCATGTGTGGAGAGATTATTGTAGATCCTGGTAACTCTTCCTTTCCGTTTTTTTGTTTGTTTGGGGATTACCATGTCTTAAGGGAAGGAGCAGGAGCAAAGTACACATTCTTTGTTCCATCTCTGACAGACTCCTCCTCGGAGTCAGATATCCCCCGCCTTCAAGAAACACATAGAAAAAAGTAAATATATATAATAATAAATATTTATCACATGCACATAAAACCTCTAAAACTTCAACGTGCTGTAAATCCCCAAATTATATATGAAAGTAAAAGAGAAATAATTTTTTGATACTTTATTTCCAGTATCATTTTAAGTTACAGGAGTTGCTTATCAAGTAGTTATCACTGGCGTTTACACAAAAATGCTGCACATGAGATCTACGATTAAAAAAAGACCTTCAGGAAAGGTCCTCTTCTAATAGGCATTAAAGAACATGGGCTGATAAGGCCGTAGTTACTCTAAACTACAATGAAATGTGTAAATCATATCAGGACTTAGCATTACTAGTAATTTTAGTAACAGTGGCTTTACTGATAATTTTGTGGACCACAATAACCTGTTGTGTCTGATAGATTCCCGTGGCAAACCCTGTGATGGTAATTCCCGCAGGGGAATGGCAGGTAGGTTTAAGTCATCAAAGGCCATCTTCTTCCAACAGGTTTAACCTTTACTAAGCAGATTCTCTCATCAGCAGTGGCTGCCTTTTTGTCCTCACGGACATGTTTTGCCCTCCTGGAAGCCAGGGCTGGCCCTTCGCTGGCCCCCAGCATTTCCTACAGCACTGCCTTTCAGGGCAGCAGTGTCTTACTGGTCTCCGGTACTTAAAGCCAAGTTTCTGGTCCTACCCTGACTGGGGCCATACCTCTCCCAGGGAAATTTTGGTGAAGTCAAGCCAGAGACGGCTTTGCCAGTAACATCCATGCAGGCATTTCTCCTGGCAGCACTTTCCTAACAAGTGTGAACAGAAACCTCAAGCAACCTTTTCAAGGTATTTTATGAAGCAATTAGTTTTTAGAAGAGAGCTATTTAGCTCTGACTCCGTGCTGTTTCCTACATGTCTGGCTTATCTTTTACCAGCTTCCAGCTGGCAGGCTCAGTGCTGTTTGCACCTGCCTGTGGAAATGTGCCCAGGAGTCACTAACACTTTAGAGAGCTTGATAGATAAAAAAAATTTCTGACATATATGAAGTCAAGAAACTGGAAGAGAAATGCTTCTGAGCTAAATCTACCTGAATTAAAGAAAAAAAAAAAAGTCCTAAGAGCTGTGAAAAACAGAACAAGGTCTTAAAGGCAAAGCAAACTAAGACCTTCACACAGGCTTAAGAAAGGGTGCGCTGAGCTAATGATTGTTTTCCTAAAATAGACTAATGACTGACATTTCAGCAGCTGGTGGGATGCAGTTTGACTCAGTATGAAAAAGTGCTTTGCTGTGCGAGGGACTGCCAGAGCAGCGAGTGGGATAACCCTCTCCATGCCTGCCTTTGCGATGGGCAGAGCAGGGGGTGGCGGAGCCAGGGGAGTCCCTTTCAGTAGGGAGGTGGCTACACGCACCTGGAGGTCAAGGGACATGAAAGCTGTCCCAGAAAGCCAGCCTGTTGTTAATCTGTACCAGTTTCTGCAATGAGCTGAAGTGAATTTCTTCCTGTCCTTGGTTGCAGACCAGCCATACGGGTACCTCGGCTGTCTCTGTGACCAGGGCATCGTGTGGATGATCCAGAGAGCTGTGGTCACCATATATCTTTCCCCTATGTAACCCATTTTTCTCAGATAAGGAGAAAAAAACGCCTAAGTGCATCAAATCTCCACATAGCAGCACTGAGCGGTAAAACTGCTGCTTAAACTGCTTGTCCTTGCATCTTGTCATTCAAAATGATCAGGGTAATACCAGTGTACTTCACAGCTATCATGAAAACATGCGGAGAGAAGTGGCAAATGTGGTGGTGCGTCCTCTTGGACAAGCTTGAATTATGTCATGCGTTGGAAGTGAGAGTTTACTAAAAACAGACAAAGAAGTAAAATGGACTATGGAGGTGGTTTGTTATGGACTGACCCTCCCTCTGGATGGCGATACTGTGAAATACTGTGTTGATGTATATAAAGATTGGATTATGGCTCTTGTATTACCTAAGGACTCCATTCCTTTACCAGTTATTAAGGAACCAAACCTTTGTGTTCAAAGCATTCTCAAACACCTCCAAAATCTCTTTGTACCAAGGCCAGACCCAGGATCTAGTCAGATTAGATTGTGCTTGCAGGTTTTGAAAGCTGTCCAGAAACTGGCTTGCGAATCGACAATTATGGCAAGAGAAACCTGGGAGGTTTTTTTGTTATTTCTTCTTCAGATCAATGACACTCTTCTAGCAGCTCCAACTGTGCAAGGTGGCATTGCTGAGAATCTGGGTGAAAAATTAATTGGTGTGCTGTTTGAGGTGTGGTTACTAGCTTGTACACGGTGCTTTCTGACACCGCCTTACTGGAAAACTGCCAAAGAGATGGTGGCCAACTGGAAATTTTTGGACTTGATGATCTTAAAGGTCTTTTCCAACCTAGACAAGTCTATGATTCTGTGATTCTATGATTCAACGTTGCTTTCATGGCAGAACTCAGGCAGAACGGGATCGGTCTTTTTGACCTCAGAAATAAAATTAAAAGGGTTCTTCTCCTTTGGCTTGTCCCAAAGCTGCAGGGATCTGCACGCCTCAATTAAAACCCTTGGCCATGGGGCTGAGGTGCTCGTGGCCAAAGCCAGCTCTGGCTCCGACTGCTGGGGAACAGGCCAGGCTGTAGGATGGAGGGGCCAGAGGGCCTGTGGCGCAGAGCTGGGCAGGAAAGGTCCGGCTGCAGGCAGAGGCTGCGGGTTTTGGGAATCTTCTTCAGAGTTTATTTTAATTGCATGTTGCCACTAGATCTTTCATTGCTTTGTTATGCCCATCCAGCTCTGGAGCCCTCAGCACAGAAGGACATGGAA